GTTGAAGATAATGGTGATGGAATAATTTGGAAAAGGATAGTGAGAATAGCAGCACAACTGGAAGAATGTAATTGATGTCACTGAACTGTACATGTAGAAACTACTGAAATGGTATAACTTTGGCTATATATGTTTTCACTAAAAAAAAGGTCCTCCAAGGTAAAGAAGGGAGAGTGTTGACATGTCGTGGGGTTGTTAACCAATGTCATAAAACAATACGTGTACTGACTGTTTAATGAGAAACTATTTTTCTGTAAACCTTCATCTAAAGTACAACAAAAAAAAAAATTAAAAAAAAAAAATCAACAAACCAATTATCAAGAACATATAGAGAACTACTACAAATCAATTATAAAAGACATACCAATTACAAAATGTACAAAAGATTTGAACAGACACTTCACAAGAGAAGATCTGCAAATGACCAACATGCAGTGCAAAGGTACTCAACACCATCAGTCAGGGGGAAAATGCAAATTAAAACCACAGCGAGATCACTGGCAATACTATGTTGGTGAGAATGTGAAGGAACTCTCACACATTGCTGGTAGGACTTTAAAATGGTATGCAACCACTTTGAGAAACTGTTTAGCAGTTTCTAATAAAGTTGAACACTTACTTTACGACCTAGCAATTCCACTCCTGGGTATTTTACCCAAGAGAAGTGCAAACATATGTTCACAAAAAGATTCAACAAAAATGTTCACAGCAGTTTTACTTATAATATTCTCAAACTTGGAAATAATCCAAATGTCCATTAACAGCAGTATGGATATATAAGTTGTGGTATATACATAGAAAGAAATACTTCTCGGGAACAAAAAAGAACAAAATACTGATATACACAACAGCATGACTAAATCTCACAAATGTTGAATAAAAGAGACTTATAAAAAAGCCAGACACAAGAGTACATACTGTATGATTTCATTTATAAGAAGTTCAAGAAAAGAAAAGGTTTATAGTTATAGAAACCAAACTATGGTTACCTTTGGGCCAAGAGAAGGGAAGTATGTAGAGTACTGACTAAAAAGTGACAAGAGGGGAAAAACGTTCCATAACTTGATTTGGGTCATGTTTACATGGGTATGTACATTTGTCAAAACTCAAACTGTATATTTAACTGTAAATAAAATATACTTCTAAAAAATACTTTTAAAACAATCTGAAATTTTAAACAAACCAGCACTGAAGTAAACACTAAAATTTTCTTTGCTGTCCATTATCTTAAAATGTTACATCCCAATAAACACAATAACATCTCTAATTTTCCTGTAACCTGGAATCATCCTCTCCCTAGAATACCACTGATAAAAAGAAAAAACTGGAGAAAGAACTAATTAACAAAAACTAATTAATTAAATTTTAATAAGATGTATTACTTATCAACACATAGTGACTGTCCACTTAAAAAGTCTGTATTTTGTAATTGTTAATTGTGCACTTTTAATTATGGAGGGCAAAGCAGGCAAGAGACCCAGAAACTAGAACTAGAGATGAAACAGGTAAGCCAAATTTAACCCTGATCTGACAGAACTGGTGTTGAGAACAGACTAGAAGTATGAACCAATGCAAAGCAATAGTGAGGATACACTGTAAACCATCATTTTACTTATAAGCGTATAAGCTAAAAGACAATAATCTGAAATTCTCCAAGAAAACATCTGCACATAGGATTCTTTACAATGACATGATGTTATATGGCATAGTTGTTGCAGAATTAGTACTTAAAGAGTGATCTAGCACTATTTCTACCTCTAAAATTCCACTTGGCCTAAAACTAGAAATATCTGCCTATAAAGGACAATTTGGAGAAACAGTAGAAGTTCCATATGACGAAAATTGTCTGCTTTAATCATTTTTGAAAGTTCTGGTTAAAAGAAAGCAGATCAGAAAGGGAGTATAAAATCCATATGCACCTACTAGACTAGTCATTTGTAAAATGTAGTTCAAATTAACTCACAGGATATTCCCCCTTCTACCCGGTTTCCTCCACAAGATTCTGTTCAACCTCTTACTGCTTTGCTGCCAGATTTGTTGAAAGAAATTTAGACTGACTGTATCCTAAATATAGTCCTTAATTTCCTATAATCTGGCTCCTGTACCTACCAAGCTATAGTTCTAACTATTCTCTTAAAAGTCACTATAACTTACTAGCCTCTACCATCTTAAGAGTCCTTATTTTCCTTAGCTTCTGAAATACAGGACATGGCAGAGTGGTATTTGAACTCAGAACTGCTTGACTCTGCACCACACACTATGGCTCCTCTTCCCCATTTATTATTTGTGACTTGTGCTTTTCAGTCTCTGTATCTCTAACTTTTGCTCACATTTCTGCAAAACTGAATTCTCCCCAGCTTTCAAGGTTCACCTCATATATCATGAAGCTCCTTGCTCCATAATAACATCTAGATGAAATAATGTACCTCCTCCTTTTACCTCCCATAGTACATTCCCTTTTCCTCTCTCCATGCACTTATAAGGCAGAAAATGATCTATTGTGTCCTTAATAATATATGATCATTCTCATGATGATTAGTACGAAGGCACATGTTATTTTTAAAAATACTGTCCACTAGTATTATTAGGCAATTATAAATGTGCTGTGGTCCAAGAGAAAGGCTAAGCTATGTTAAAGAAGTATTCTCTCTCACCTGATGTATTCCTCTTTATTTTCTTCTGTTACAAGAATATTGCCGCCATTGGGTTTCAAATCATGACTCTTAATTTCACCAAGAATTTCCTTATCGACTGAGAAGTACATTTCCAAACCACATTCTTCAATATTGTTTTCTCTGCACGAATAAAATTAACACTATTTGGTATATTCAATTCAATCATAATGTAAAGGTGTTTTAATTTAAAGGTTTATGTCCTTAAATAATTAATATTAAGCTATAACATCAAAGTAATAAGAAAACTGAAGATAATGCTTTAAAGTCATCCTATTTTTGCCCAAGATCTTGGGTGTATCTCTGTAAAATTTATCATACTGAATGACACTGGTTTGATGTATAGATCATTTAAATCCAGTGAACATGCTTATAGTTTGGATATATTACAAATATCATAATGAAGGCATACAGACAATATTTTGAGAAATTAAGTGCAAACAGGGTTAACTTACTTTACCCAGATGAGAGAATTGTAAAATTCTGGATCAATAGATTCTAAATCCTTGAGTCCGACTGGTTTGTTCAAGATACGCTTGTAGAATGGCAAAGAAAAACCCGTGTCTATGAATTTCCCATGGAACAGAGCCTATACAGAAAGAAAACATTAGCATTTAAGATAATTATTGTGTAATAGTCATTTTATTTCAAAATGTTAAGTAAGTTCTGCATTAAAAAAAGCTCCCCTCCTAAAGGAGACTGGAGAAACCTCTAGAGTATGGCCCCCAGACACCCTTTTAGCTCAGTGGTGAAGTTACCTACAAGGTTCACTGTTCAGCCTGGGAGTGGACAGCCCCGTAAAACCAAATGAGACTAACGAGGTACAGGAGTCCAGTGACAAGGGCCAGAAGGCAGAAGGGGACAAGGAAGCTAGTGATAGGGAACACAAGGTTGAGTAAGGATATTGTTGATGTGTTGTGAGATTGATAACCACTGTCATAGGACAACATTTGTAGTAACTGTTAAATGAGAAACTATTTTGTTCTGTAAGCCTTCATCTTAAGTGAGAATAACAGCACAATTAGAAGAGCGTAGTCAATGTCACTGAACTGTGTATGTAGAAATTTTTGAAACGGTGTATGTTTGGCTATGTGTATTTTCACCAAAAAAAAAAAAGGTTGAGAATTTAGAGGGTTAATATGTTGTGGGGTTGTTAACCAATGTCATAAAACAACATGTGTACTACGGTTTCATGAGAAACTATTTGTTCTGTAAGCCTTCACCTGAAGTACAATAAAATTAAAAAAAAAAAAAAAAAAAAGCTCCCCTGTATTATGACACATTTCTGGGAAAACGGCAGACATAGCAAACTCAATTACAGAAATATCTTAGAGGAGAAAATTTCAAATAAGAAAGTTAAAGAAGCAATGATTTTGTATTGCTGAATTGGCAAAGTAAACACACAAGTTTCCACCTGCACTTACCATGGCAATAAACCTGCCAATAAAACGAAAATATTTCAGGTGATCTGGATTGATGTAAGAGGCAGGGTTTATCTGCAAGCAATAGTTATCCTTCCCTGCATATTCAAACAGGCAATACATTGGGTTCAACACCTCATGTGACAAAAGAAAGAACCATTCTCTGAAATCAAAAGAAAACTTTGGGTAAAAAATCTTTTAAGCAAGCATGCTAACAGATAAAAAAGCAGTGCTACATAGTTCCCAGGGATCTACACTCCTCAGGTGGCGATAATTTTCTAATCCTATTTTAATTTTTATGAATTCTGTTTAAATTTACATTTTACACAGATGACATTTACACCCTGCTTATTATTATGTTTCAAAGAATCTAAGGCTTTAAATGCACCATTATTTGATGAATCACTAAAAAAAGTTTCCAATTATAATTCTAAGAACACATTTCAATTTCAGAGATGTTACAATATGAAAATATTAGTCTTAGAATCGATGAAATACTATATACAGGTGAGTTTAAAATTCACTATCAACCCACGTGATCAGAGCAGCTGACATGAGTCTAATATTATTCCACATATTACTAAGCCCTATAGTGATCCTCATCAAGTAACATTGCTACTTATACCTTAAATGAATATAAAAATCCTTCTAATTTCATAGAGGCAATAAAGCACTTAATTCAAGCCACTGATTCATTAGAAAAATGCTCTGACAAGTTATAATTCAAATATTGTGAAAATACCTACGGATACTAACATAAGATTATGGTTACTAACTATATAATGTAGGTGGGTCTGGAACAGCAGGAGGCAGAGCAGATCTGGGCAATACATGTGGTGTCAGCTAACATCCTAGATCTTTTTTCCTGTTAATTCATGGCCTCTGGTGTAATATTATTTTTTGATCAAAAAGAATGATGGCCCTCCTACGGAATTATCTTTAACTTGTACAAAAATTAAATGTTTCTGCTTAAATTTACTCTTCACCTGTGATTACTCCATACACTTTGGAAAAGTTTCACTTGAACTTTGAAACACAATAATATAAATAAGAAGTACTAAAATGTAGTCACCTGTTAGTGAGCACACAGACTCAGGCTCTAAACCAGGTCACTAATAAACAATTTCTAATCTACACAACAATTCCAGGAAGGTAGATACCACTATTCCTATTTTACAGATGAAGAAATTTGCCCATGGTCATACTTCTAAGAGTAAAAAAAGATTCAAATCCAGTCTTGACGCCAAAGTCCTTACCTTTCCACTCTGCCACACTACTATGCAAATTTTTAAGCTGATACATATTTATAGAAAAAGCAAAGCAATTTCTTGATTGAGTGTATATTCTAGGGTTTTTATTAGAAGCTCCAATATGAAGAAAGGAGAATTAAGATTCCAAACTCCTATTTTATACAAGCTTTTTTTTCTAGTATTTTTAGGACATATATTAATCTGAGTTAGGAACTGAATAACTATTGTCTGTATCAGTGATCTGTACTGGGGGCCTTATGTGCTCTGTGGAACAGATATGATGTAGTAAACTGAACACTGCTTATGGTTAGATGATGCAAAGCTTGCATCCAGGCTCCATAACTTAGATGTGCACCTTAAGTGAATATTTAAACCTCTTCATTACCCTATTTTACAGGGTTATCCTGAGGATTAAAAGAGTGGTGTGAGTGAAATCAACTAGCAGTCCCTTAGAGACAAGGTGCTGACTTAATGTTTGTTGAAATTCTGTAGCTGCTGCATAATTAAGGTACAATAATTTCCTACATTTCATTTTTCTGAAATATAAGACTGACAAAATAATACTTGCAAGCAAAGTATAATGATACCTTTGGAGGAAAGGGACTAAGTTCTGAGTATTCATATTATCACTACCTTGCTACACCTCCATAATCTAAACCTTCTTCTCCTAGAAAAATCACCCACAAACGTCTTCGCAGATCTTGAGGACTGAAGCTCATTATCTATAAAACAATAAAGTAAAAGAATCTGTAAAAGCAGTTGTTGAAACACCACTCTACTACTTCCAGGTTTGAAATCTCCTTCAGTATTAAAACAAAAATAAAACAGCTGCTGTCAGATTAAATTCCCCATGGCATAGAGTGGTATTTATAATCCGGTCCACACCACACATACAGAAAATACATTAAAGCTTCATATCTTATATATTATGAAATAGTTCATATACATAGCTATATTTATACATATATAATTTTCTTTTAAATGATGTTATTACTGACTTATGAGGTTAATTCTCTCAACTGCTTAAAGCACAGAGTAACAGAATACGGTCAGAAGTTACATCCTTTCTTTTTTAGGTTAACTGACTTGGGTTTATTTCACAGTCAAAGGGTAGCACTGCTATCAGCAAGTTACGTTCCCACAAACTGCCCCACTAGAGACTGACTACTCAGTGACTAAAGAGTAAAACAAAAATGGGCAAGGACTGGAGTGGGGAATGGCCTTGGAGACTTAGATCAAGGGAATGACTCATAATTGTCTAAATGGCCTCAGTAAGGTTCTGACTGCTGATAAAAAGTTGTCTGCTCCAACTTAGCAAGATGCTAACAGATTTTTCCCTTCAATATTAATGATTGAGGTTCCATTAAGAAATGAACATAACTGTTTCAAAGCAAGTAGCCAGCTACTATCTCAGACAATCTCTTTTCCCTTTGCATTCAGTTCAGTCTTTTTTGAAGCTATAGCTATCACAATAATATCATAAGGGCTAGATAATAATCACTTCCACAACTGGACATAAAGCAAGGACTAACAATTACATAGCTGGATGTTTTCATTCTAAGTCATTTTTTTGCTAGTCATTTTAATCTTCCCTATAACAAAAATCACTCAATATTTAGTTGCAGTTGGTTGTTAGCAATATCTGCAAAATAAACAGTAAATTAACTCACTTTCAGAGGAAAAAATTAGTTGACTACTTCTGAAAAGTAGTTTTTAAAGAACACTATCTTTTCTAAAACATGACTTCAATTACTTTCTTTCCTACATTACGAATATTTTTTAATTATAAGAATATCATATGCTTATTGTAAAAAAATGCAAGTAATGTAGAATGTAAAAACTAAGTGTTCCCCTCTCCTTTCTACCCAGCCAACATTGTACAGGTATTTCCAGACTTCTGTCTACTGAAAGTCTATTTTCTTAGTTGGATATCTATTTCAAATCAAATACTTTGCTTAGGAATGGAAACCTGAAACTCACTAAGCACAATTCACAAACACACACATACACACATGCATGCATAAAAAACTATTTGCATGTTCCTAAACACTAAGTACTAAAGTAGCTGGCAATGAGACTGGACTTAAAAATTCAAGGGCTCCAACTCAAGGAACTCCAGATTTTCAGATTAGACTGCTAGCATCAGGAGGTTGGGCTGGAAGCCAGAGCACAAACTATTGAGTCAATGAAAAAGTACCTGCTGAAAGGAATCCTCAAACAATGTTTTTCTTGTCACTGTAATCTTTATGTGCTGAGGCATGGCCAGTTGCTGAAATACAAGAATGACTTAAGTCAACTCTCACCATTAAAACGGCCTATCAAAAAACCAAAAGGGGAAAGTTTATTTACTTTCACCTTTGCAAAGAAAAATAAGAATGATTACGAATGTGAATTTGTATTTAATAATGCTTAGGAATGCATTTGTGAAAATTCATGCTAATTATAGATTACTTAATAGCTATGTGAGAAACAGAAGAAAACAAAGATGCACAAGTGCTTATTTAATAATATAAATCAAACAAATCTTAATTTTATTTTCAAAAGGCTAATTCAGATTCTTCTTGTTTGCATGGGTCCAGTTAATTACAAGAGTTTAAACTTTAAAAACATTCATCACAGTAACATTTTGATTAGTGTGTTCATTTTATTTAGAATTGATGGAGAGATCATTAATTCAGTAAACATTTATGCCTCAAAAGTAGTTGATCACATCTGGAAAACATACTCTGAATATAAATATATATGTATTTATCAAAATGCTACTACTTATTTATACCAAATGCTAGATATGAAAGGGGCTAGTTACAAATAATACATCAGAAAATGTTTTTACTTATGTTTGAAGATTTTTGCAATCTGTTAAGTAATGGGTACTGCAGAAAGAGTTGCAATGTTTTCTTATTCAAATGATTTCAAATTTATTCTGCTGGACAACAGAAGACACAAATTATCTAATTGGTAAGTCTAGTTCTTTGCCCTTTGCAGGTGAAAAGTGATTCTAATTCTTCCCCCTTTACCTGTTTTTCTATTTTCCCCATCACTGTATAATATAAACAACGTAACAAAGGAAGCGGAGTACAGAAATCCAGTCACAATACTAACCTGACACCAGAACCGGAAATACTGAACCTTTGCCTTGAAGTCCCGAACATAGGCAATCTGGGGTCCATTGTCTCTGGGGAAGAACAATGGTTAACGTGACATATAAAGCTGCTTGTCAGAGATAATACTGACGAAACAACACATACACTCCCCTCAGTACTCAGCAGTGAAATACAAAAATACCCCATGCAGCATACCCCTATACAGCCCTCTTTTTTTTTTTTCCCTTAAATATTTCCCCAAAACTATTTTTAAGTAACAGAGGGAAATTTCAATCTTGTTAAAGCAACTGTTAAGGGATTTTCTATCATATGCAGCCAAATCTAATACGAACTAGTTAGCCTGCAGGACTAGCTAAAGGAGTGAGTATCTCTGAGAATGCTGCCTATCCCAATCACCCGATTCTCTGTGTACTTAATTCAGACCTCTTGATATTTTACTGGGCAGACTGCACTCTAGGAGAAAGACTATATTTTCTAGTGTGGACATGTGACTAGACTTTGACCAATGAGCTATCTAAGTGGAAGTGCTGTATAGAACTTCTAGGAAGGCTCTTTAAAGACAGCTGAGATAGCTGGAAAGGAATTTGATTGTATCTGTCTTACCTATCTATCATGGGGTCTCCATAAGTTAAAGTAGACTCCATGGCAAACAGCGACCTACCTACCTATCTACTGTCTATTTGCCTTTACTCTATATTCCAGTTCAAAGTGTGACTATGATAGCTGAAGTTTCAGCAGTTGTCACAGACCATGAGGTAACCTTGAGGACAGAAGCCATGCACTGGAATGACAGAACAGAAAGAAAGAAGCCTAGGTTACTGATGGAGTGCCCAAGCTAGCCCTGGACTTCATACACTTGCATTACTTGCTTTTTCCCTTGGACTACTTTTAATTTCATTTTCTAACTGTTCATTGCTAATATATAAAATACAAATAGTTTTGGTATATTGACTTTTATCCTGCAACACTGTTGAATTTACTTATTAGTTCTAGTAGTTTTCTCCAGATATTCTATATACACAATCATGTTATCGGGGGGGGGTGGGGGGGAGAGACAATTTAACTTCTCCCTTTCCAATCTGTATAACTTATTTCTTTTTCTTGTCTCATTGCACTGGCTAGGACTGCCAATACAATGCTGAATAGAAGTACTGACAGTAGACACCATGATTTTAGACTTGATCCTAAGGAGTATTTCATCAGTAAATGGGATGTTGGCTATAGGTTTTTTGTAAATGCTTTTTTCCAGATAAGAAAGTTTATAAGTTAGTTAAGAGTTTATCATAAATTGGTGTTGTATTTTGTAAAATACTTTTTCTGAAATGATCATATGATTTTTTGCCTTTAATCCATTAATATGGTGAATTAAACTGATTGATTTTTGTATGTTACACCAACCTTGCATTCCTAAAATAAATGCCACTTGGTCATCACTTTTATATATTGCTATATCTGATCTGCTATTAAGGATTTTTACACCTATGTTCACAGAAATATTAGTTTATAATTTTCTTATACTGTTCTTGTCTGATTTTCGTTATCAAGGTGATAGAAGATTCATAAAATTAGTTGGGAAGTATTTCTATCTCTGCTACTTTATGAAAAAGTTTGAATAGGCCAAAATATTCTTTATAGGGAGTTGTTTAATTAGGGTTTAATTTCTTTATCAGATTATAGGGCTATTGAGATTTACTACTACTTCTTGTGTTCATTTTGTAACTTGTTTCTTTCAAGAAACTTGTCCATTTGATCTAAGTTGTCAAATCTATTGACATAAAGTTGTTCAAAATACCCCTCATTATCTTCTAATATCTGTAGGATCTGTAGCGATGTCCCTCCTTCATTTTGATTTTGGTAATTTACATGTTCCCTTTTTTCTCTATCAGATATACTAGGGGTTTATCAACATATTAATCTTTTCAAAGAACCAACTTCTGGCTTTGATTTCTCTATTGTTTAATTTCTATTTCATTAACCTCTGCTTTTATTTTTATTACTTTCTTTTTCTACTTACTTTGGGTTTAATTCACTCTTCTTCTAACGTCTTAAGGTGGAAGGAAGCAAGATCACTGATTTCATACCTTTCTTATTTTCTAATTTAGGCCTTTAAAGTTTAAATTTTCCTCTAAGGACTACTTTAACTACCTATATCCCACAAATTATGATGTGTTGTGTTTTTATTATCATTCAGTATGAAATATTTCCTAATTTATTTTGTTACTTCTTTTTGACCTACAGATTATTTAGTAGTATGCTATGTAAGTCTTATTGGACTATGTTTAAATGATGGAGAGAAATACACTTCTGTCTTGGGTAAGTCACTATTGTTTTGGTGTTTTCTATTATATATGCCCAAATTTAATTGTAATATGGAATGATACAACAGTTATCTATTTATAAATTATTTTCTTATCTAAATCATCTCTGTAATTCCATTAATATTTAATGGTGTGATTTCTAACTTTCTTCTTTAAACTTGAAAGTGTTTAATATGCAGAAATTATAAAGTTAAAAGGAAAGGAGAATGAAAGAAAGCAGGCATCAAGCAGTGAACAAATGTTAACAAACATGAAAAATCTCTGAGGTAAAGTATTCATGAGGAAGATGAAAACACAAAATATTTAGTGGACAGAGACCTGTTAGCAAGCCAACTCAAGGAACAGTAAGACTTGCATTTCCTGCTAATTCAGATCTATATATCAAAATCTGAAGAATTGGTTTTACTTTTAATCTACAATGTTTAGAAAACTTACAGGGCAGATTTTCCTGTGCGGGGATCTATATAGGTGGTTGTTCTTCTATTGTGGTCCACAAAATATGAAATTCCATCCACAGTGAATCTCATTTCCCAGCCTTCTGGTAAGGGCTTTTCATTTAACTGGCTACAAAATATAGGAAAAAAACATAAACAAAAAAAAGTTAGAGTTGGCTTGTTTGCCAATACAAAAACTAAAAATGCCTATAAATGTAGCAGAAATCTTCTACAAAGTCATTCAGTCCAGTATTTCTAGTTGCTTAGTAGACATTTCTATCTGGACATACTATAAGCATCTTGAACCCAAAAGGCCCATCAACCACCACTTAGTCTTCTTTTATTTACTTGGCCTGTGTTCCTCATCTACTCAATAACCCACCTTAAACATCTTGTGGTAAACAAGCTCTGCCCATTCTGCCTTAGAAGTCTTTTATGTTCATCCCTACTTTCAACCCCAAACACCATCCTTACTTTAGTTTTATTCACCACTCATCTTAACTTTCACAACAGCTACCTAACTGGTTTTCCTGCCTCCAGTCTCAGTCTTACATTCCATACTGCTGACAGAACTAGTTTTCTAAAATATAGATCTGATCAAATAATGATTCTCCTTAAAGTCCTATCATTGGTCACCACTGCCAATGATAAGATCTAAATTCTTCCATCTGGCACACATTCTGCCCTCTATACTCTGACCTCAACGTTTCCTTTCAGATTTATCTCCCCACTCCACCTCCAACTCCCTTCCATGAACTCTAACAAAGCTTCTCTTATTTTTATTGTATTTTCAAAGTGTCATTATTATAATCATAAATACACTATGTGGGGAAGTGCAAACATTTTACCAAATGCTATTTAATTTTCATTTGAAAGCTTTCTTAACCTTCCCTAAATAAAACTATCAATATTCTGTAAACTACACCAAAACATAAGACTACTTTGCTATATTCAGATATTTCAACATAATGATCAGATAAATAGGCTACCATAAAGTTTAAGAAGATAATGCTAAATGCAACTGCTTCTCATTTGTTGTAACTGTATTATGTAAAACAAAACTAATTAGAAAGAACTGGTCATCTGTGTTATTTATTAAAATACAACTAATTTTAGCTCTAAAACTTTAAAGCTCCAAGACAAAACCAAAAAAGGTAGCAAATTACAGAAACGTAACTTCATTAATTCTAACCTTAGAGATAGAACTTTAAAGAGAAAATTTAAATGTTACCTTTGAAATTCTTATTTCTTCCTGTTTTGAAATTGATATGTATATTTTAAATACCATAAATCCAGAAAAATGTGATTTGCTGATACCCAGAAATTGATATTTTAAAGTATACTTTTAGGACAGAGATTCTTAAAACATTAAGCCATGAAACCCTCTGGCAGTCTGAAAAATGCACAGTGTTACACAGTATTACAAAGGAAAGGAATTGTATATACATAGTTATTGAAACAACAAAAAAAGACAAACTTGTGGATAATCTGCCTCGTTATCAATGCATTAACTATCAAGTTCTTAGGACAGACTAAGCAATGATGGGTGTGAACAATATTTTGAGATATCTGCAACAATGAGAATGATACAAAAATACCTAGGATTTCTACTGGTAGCAAAGTCCTGGCATTACTAATTTTACTATGGTTGGAGCCTACATTCATAATGGAAAGAAACACTCAATCTCATTTAAAAGTTAGTGAAACTGTCTATGTATTTTTTTTCCCCCATGTAAGTCATATATCCCCTGAATTCTATCCAGTGATCCCAAGTTAAGAAACCCTGTTTTAGAATGACTAACCCACTGTTGCTAATCATAAGTCAGTATTTTTAGATACATAAGTATAGTCTCATGTATCAGTGAAACTTTTTCTCTTTTCAAAGTATGTGGATAACTGAAATTAAGGCTTTTGAGGACAGAATATGGAACTTTGATCCTCTTCATAAATGAGTCAGAAACATGGCACAATCTTTAGGAAGTTATATTTATCAGTAACTGCAAGTTCTTACCCTTGACTTCTGGGATCTTCCCACTGTGTAATACGAGTGTTGTGGTTGACAAAATATACTCTGCCATTGCTGTCCGTTCTCTTCTCTTAAATAAAACAAAGTATTAGAGTCGGCATACTCTTCCACAAACTAAAATTATTTAATGAGCTAAATTTGCCCATCTCTCATTGTATTGCTGGTTCTGAAGTTTTTAAATCACAACGTTAAAAGGCTTCAGTTAGGGCTGGGGCCTGGGGACCATAGTTTCGGGGACATCTAGGTCAACTGGCATAACAAAGTTTATTAAGAAAATGTTCTGCATCCCACTTTGGTGAGTGGCATCCGGGGTCTTAAAAGCTTGTGAGTGGCCATCTAAGATGCATCAATTGGTCCCATCCCACTTGGAGCAAAGGAAAATGAAGAAAACCAAAGACACAAGGAAAATATTAGCCCAAGAGACTAAAGGACCACATAAACCAGAGACTCTACCAGCCTGAGACCAGAACTAGATGGTGCCCAGCTACCACCAATGACTGCCCTGACAGGGAACAAAACAGACAGTCCCAGACAGAGCGGGAGAAAAGTGTGGAGCAAAACTCAAATTCACATAAAAAGACCAGATTTAACAGTCTGACAGAGACTGGAGGAACCCCCGAAACTATGACCACTGGATGCTCTGTTAATCCAGAACCGAAACCATTCCCGAAGCCCACTCTTCAGACAAAGATTAGACAGGACTATAAAACAAAAAATAATAGGCATGAGGAGTGTGCTTCTTAGTTCAATCAGATACATGAGACCAAATGGGTGGCTCCTGTCCAGAGGCAGGATGAGAAGGCAGGAAGGGATAGGAAGTGGCTGAATGGACACAGGGAACCCAGGGTGGAAAGGGGGAGTGTGCTATTACATTGTGGGGATTGCAACTAATGTCACAAAACAATATGTGTATAAATTTTGTATGAGAAATTAATTTGAGCTGTAAACTTTCACCTAAAGCACACACACACACAAAAAGCCATCAGTTATTCTTTGATTACTGAATGTACATACTAAGTTATAATAGTATTACTAAATCCTAGATGCTAAATAGATTTAATTCACAATGCCCTGTCCACAGGACCTTTCTGCTTAGTCCAATCAGGAGCAGCAAGAATTAAAAAAAGAAAAACATAGTTGTTGTCAAGTCGATTCTGACTCATGGTGACCCCATGTGTTGCAGAGTAGAACTGTGCTCTATAGGGTTTTCAAGGCTGTGACCTTTTGGAAGCAGATCACCTGGACTTTCTTCCAAGGTACCTCTGGGTGGGTTTGAATTACCAACCATTTGTTTAGTAGTCAGGTGCTTAACCATTTGTGCCACACAGGGACTATGCAGCAAGAATAATTAACATTTATTCCAGTTTTAGCCATATGACCTCATTTTACCCTTAACAGTCCCATGGGATAGGTGGTTTTATTTTTATCCTGAAGATAAGACAACTCAAGTTAAATGATCTGTCCAAAATCTCAGAATTGAGTAAGAAACAAGATAGAAACTCTGGTCTCCAGTTGGGGATTTTTGCATATCATACCATCTAATTTCTAAAATTTAATGGAGGGATATAACTTGTTTCTATCGTATATGCTAGACATAATTTAACCAAAGAAGGTGTTATTTCTTTTTTAATATATCCAATGACTTAATATACCCATTCCAAAATCCACTGCCTAAATATCAACTTTCTATACAGGGACTGAGCAGCAGGACTCAGTTCTGTAATTTACTACATCTAAAGTTGCTGCTTATTCCCCACCTAGCTCTTCATTTAGGATTCTCCTTGTTTTCTTGTTCCTATTCTACAAAATTTCCTCTACTTCCCTGAGCTTTCCCATTGGGCATACAGGTATCATTTTCCCCTTTTAATAACCAAATCAAATAGCTTTTAAATTTTAATAATAATATTAGATTCTGCTATCTTTGAACTACTGACTTCTCAGCCCCCCATTACCAATGAATTTTTTAAGAGCTAGATCTCCTCCTGTATCTGAGTTCTTTTGTTTGGCCAAAATGTCTCTGTCATGAATTGAACTGTGTCCCCCAAGAACACTGTCAACTTGGCTAGGCCATGATTCCCAGTATTGTGTGGCTGTCTTCCATTTTGTGATTTGATGTAATTTTCCTATATGTTGTAAATCCTAATCTCTACCTGTGGCTAATGAGGCAAGATTAGGTTATGTTAAAGACGATTAGGATGGGATGCAACACCCCATGTAAGGGGAGTTTTCCTGGGGTATAGCCTGCATTACCTTTTGTCTTACAGGAGATAAAAGGAGAGAGAAGGCAACAGAGAGTTAGGGACCTCAGGCCACCAAGAAAGAAGCACCAGGAGTGTAGCACATCCTTTGGACCCAGGGTCCCTGCTCTGAGAAACTCCTAGATCAGGGATGACTGATGACAAGGACCTTCCCCCAGTGCCGACAAGAGATAGAAAGCCTTCCCCTGGAGCCCTGAATTCAGGCTTCTAGACTTGTAGACTGTGAGAGAATAAATTTCTGTTTGTTAAAGCCATCCACTTATGGTATTTCTATTACAGCAGCCCTACATACTAAGATAGTCTCAAAATGGATAAAGTATTAAAGATTACAGAATGTATTCAAACTTTTTTGAAAGTATAGTTTCTAAGAATTAACAATTTTCAAACAAAATTTTACGTTTAATTCCAAGCTGATAAAGCTAATTTTTATTTCCTATCGTTTAAAAAATTATGAGTCTTAGGCTAATTTATAGCCTTTGCAAGTTAGTATTTAGTAACATTTAATCATATTTCCAGCACTGATTCCAAGATCTCAAATAGGAGTGATGATATGGGATTAGAAGGGAGGTACTGGTGACTGTCTTGAATCCACTTCTGATATCACAGGTAGTTTCTACATCAGCTAGGCCTAAAATGGAAACAGAATTTCAGGTATACCCAAAATAAAGTACCGAAAAACAGGACTCTGCCTCTGGTGACACACCTGAATATTAACACAGGCTTCAATGGTCATGGCACTCCGAGTATGGAAACATGTCACCAGCTCTAAAGCTTGCTTTGAAACAAAATTAAGCACCCACAGTGCTACAGCTGGCCAAATGATTACAAGGTAAGTTCACGTTCTTGGCAGTGACATCAAAATAAAAAATTTATTTGAGGAATTTAGAATTGTCTTTCTTTTTTAAAAATGTATATCCAAATAATTTTTTTTAAAAAGAAATCAAATCAATAGCATAACTCTACAACTTGAGGAACTAGAAAAAGACAAACTAAGCCTGAAGCTACCAGAAGAAAGGAAATAACAAAGATCAGAGCAGAAATAAATCAAAAATAATTTTAAAACAATTTTTACAATCTAAAAATACTCTAAGTGAAAAGCTGAGCAAATATTCATCTTTTATCTTCTACCTAAGTTTACATTTCAGGGCCAGAGATTTTTCTTCCAGATTGTAATGGGAGGCAAGACAAAGTTAAAAGCAAACTTGCTGCCCATGTATGTTTTAAGTATATACTGTTGATAATCAGCATTTCTTGGAAGAGACTGTGAAAAGACAGAAAATTTAAAGGTGGACACTTGAAAACTTAAGACTCACCTGCTTAATGAGAGGAAGTACTGTGGCTGTAGAACTAACTATTTTGTTAAAAAATGACATGATAAACAATACTGAAAATTACTGAACAAATCTGAATACACATCACAGCACTTCCTGACTTGATGAATAAAACAGTAAAAAACAGAAGCTTCTTGCTGTTCAATTTTTGTATCATAACAACTAAGAAAATGAAAAATATCTTTAAACTTTTTAGGGAAACCAGCTATACAAAGCCCTATTAGATTACATTGCTGAACCAAAAACATTGTTCTCCATAGTGTGCATGTTTTAAAAATTCTTCACTGTCAGCTTGTAAGGTGGTAAGTCTAACACTAGCATATAAAAGTCTGAAAAGGGTGAGGAAGTTATACTTGAATATATATGGTGTTGCAAAAATAATGCTGTCAGTCTCAGAAAATAAACACAGGTTGTGTTTACGGGATTCTATTTCCTGGGTCAATCCTGGCAGGTGGGTCTCCTCATCTGTTAAAGTACCAGTGTTGTCACTGGTTCTACAAATAAAGCATATGCCCAAAGGTACAGAATCACAAAGCAGTGCTCATGCTGAGTAGCAGGATGATCATGAGCTCATTTAGAAAGCGGGCAACTTCAACTTCATGAGTGTGAAACCTAAAAATAATCAGACTGTAAAATAGCAGAATGGGATGCCGATAACCTGAATAAGCTGGGACTGGGTCTTTTGAGGTAATATTTTAGGGAGGTGTTGCTGACTAAAGTAAAAATGAGAAAGATCCTGATGATGGTGATAATGATAAACATAGAAAGCAAGGACCAGCTTACAAACATAGATCATAATTCAGGTGTCTATGAGAAAGAGGCAATTTTTCCTATAGCTGCTCTCAAAGAGTAAAATGAGCTGTTTCTGACAAAGGACAATTAGGTCATGCTTTTTCTGCAATAAAGTAAAAGTATAAACTACATGACTTTCAGATATATTCTTTCAGTGCACCGCGCTTTCCTTCCGTAACATGGAAGTACTACAATTCTAAAAATAAGGCTGGAAAATCATTCATGTCTGGGAATGCAATCTGCCAGGTCAGGTTCAGCATGTCTCATAATGGGCAACATACCCTTTCTTCTAAAGTACTTCATACCAACCACACATTCACCATTCTGAAGCTCCAACAGAGCCAGAAGACTCCTTACCAGACTGCTAGGTCTTGGTGAAAGCAGAAATTCATATGCCCTTCCTTTGTTACAAACTGGCAACAATAACAGTTATAAGTATGGCCTTTATATTTTTCACCTCTTTGACTGACAGGAGTGTTTTAAGGATAAATAACCTCAACGAAGCACAATGAAAGAGCACTGGGGTCTCTGAGAAAAAGAGAAAAAAAGCTTCTACAGCCAATATCATTTATTGCTCCGATTGTGATCCTGAAACATCAATTTTTTTCTCCATTACTCACTGATGCTACAGTAGTCTGTTTCAGAGACCAACGTTTCCCATCAATGACAATCCAAAATTATCACTTTCTGAATTTACCCAATATTAGGAAATATCTACAGCTCTTTAAGACAAAACTGCAGTTTCACAACCGGCTTTACTTTGCTGTTTTCCACTTTCTGTTATCCTCTTTGTCTTCCACGCAAAGCTGTTTCTACGCCACCACCTTTTTACTGGAACTTTGCTACAGCGCTGTGACTATTATATGGAGCCCTGGTGGCACAGTGGTTAAGAGCTAAGGCTGCTAACCAAAAGGTCGGCAGTTCAAATCCACCAGCCACTCCTTGGAAACCCTATGGGGCAGTTCTACTCTGTCCTATAGGGCTTCTATGAATCAGAATCGACTTGACGGCAACGGGCTTGTTTTTTTTTTTTTCCCCATAAGATAGAACCTGGTAGAGTAGGCCCATCTTAAATCCTATTAATAAAATTTTAATAACTAAGGTACCAAATGTACTCAATAACATATTACCCTTATGTACTCCATGACTGTTGTTATTGTTGTTGTTAGGTGCTGCTGAGTCAAGTTCTGACTCATAGCGACCCCACAATAGAATGAAATGCTGCCTGGTCCTGCGCCACCCTCACAATTACTGCTGTTTGAGCCCACTGTTGCAACCACGGTGTCAATCCATCTTGTCACGGGTCTTCTTCTCTTTCGCTGTCCCTCTATCTTACCAAGCACAATGTCCTTCTCCAGGGACTGGTCCCTCCTGATAATGTGTCCAAAGTACGTGAGACAAGGTCTCATCATTCTTGTTTCCAAGGGGCACTCCAGCTGTATCTCTTCCAAGACAGACTTGTTTGTTCTTCTGGCAGCCCATGGTATATTCAATATTCTTCGTAATTCAAAGGCTTCAATTCTTCTTCGGTCTTCCTTATTCAGTGTCCAGCTTTCACATGCATACGAGTGACTGAAAATATCATGGCTTGGGTCAGGCGCACCTTAGTCCTCAAAGTGACATCTTTGCTTTTTAACACTTTAAAGAGGTCTTTTCAGCAGCTTTACCCAATGCAATACATGGTTTGATTTCTTGACTGCTGCTTCTGAGGGCGTTGACAAAAAGTCAGCACCTTAACATGTTCTCCCTTCTGCTGCTGCTTCAGATAACACCAACTCAACCAAACTCTTAACTGTGTTTTAGAAGCACCAATGTGATCAAAAATTTTTTTTAACTTTTTATTTAGAAATAATTATTAACTACAAGAAGTTACAAAAATAGTACATAGAGTTTTGCACATACTTGACCTAGTTTCTCCTGATGATGACATCTAACTGTAGTACAATATCAAAATCAGGAAACTGACATTGGTACGTTATTGTTAACTAGACTATCAACCTTATTCAGTTTTCACCATTTTTTACCCTGCATTCATTCATGTATGTGTGTGTGTGTGGTTCTACATAATTTTATCCCATGTATAGATTTATGTAGTCACTACCACAATCAAGATACAAAACTGTTCCATCACAACAAAAGAACTCCCTTTTGCTGCTTTTGTATTTGTACCTACCCAGCCCCTGACCCCCTGGGGTCTCCTGGCAATCACTATTCTGTTCTCAATCTCTACAGTTTTGTCAATTTGAGAATGTTATATAAATTGAATCATGTGTAATACTTTCAGATTAACTTTTTTCACTAAACATAATACCCTTGAGATCCATCCAGGTTTTGTGTGTATCAATAGTTCATTCATTTTTATTGCTGAGTGATCAAAACATTTTTAAACTTTAAAATAGTAAAATAACTCTGAATTCAAATAAAAGTTTACAGTAATAAAACGGTTAACTTAGAATGTTTGGGGGAATTTAATGCCCATTTGGCACTCTTAATTTATACCCAAAACACTTCCTAGATATTTAGCTCAAGCAAAAGCAGAGTGATTCACTCAAACAAAAGAGTGATTTACTTATGCAAAAGCAGAGTATCATCCATAAAGATCTGATTTTTAAAATGACAGATTCAATGAAAAAATTCATGTGACTTACCCCATCCAGATGGCAATGGACCAAGGGGATCAAATTCTTTACTTTGTGATGTAGCGAACAAATCCTGATTCTAAAAAAGACGCAAAAATGGTAAAATAATTAAAAACTTAAACAGGTGATTTAAAAGCAAGTTTATGAGTCCTGATATCCTTTCCTTGGCGATGCAGAACATAGCATACTCTTATGGAGTTCACATCCTAGAGAAGTGTCATAGGGTTATGAGCAAACGTCAACATACTTTCTTTCCTTTGGGGGGCAAAAAAAGTCCTCCTAAATCCTCACCCAAAAAATGACCATTTTCTTTTGCTAAAAAATTTTACTATACCTGTAATATAAAAGTGAGAAAAATATAACCCCCCCAAAAAAAGCTATATATAATTTCAAAATCCAGAGTCATCAGAGAGCTGAGAAAAATCCTACATTTCTAACTCAAAAAGAGGGGACCATATAGAGAACATGGGATATAAAAGAAAAGTTCTATTTGCAATTATCACATGGGGAGGAGAGAGGTTTGGCCACGTAAGATAAAGGAAAGCAGGAGTTAACTTTTCGAAAAAGAGAAGCAAAAGTTATACTGACTGTCTAGGGTTAATGAGTGTGTTTTGGTTCTAAATGTACAATGTTGCTGTATGCCACTGAGTTGATTCCAACTCACAGTGACCCTACAGGACACTGCAGAACTGCCCTACAGGGTTTCCTAGGCTGCAATCTTTTACAGGAAATGATCACCAGGTCTTTTCTCCCATGGAACTGCTGGGTAGGCTTGAACCACTGACCTTTTGGTTAGCAACTGAGCCCTTTAACCATTGCGCCACCAGGGCTCCTTATTGTACATTAAGTGGGGATAATTTTGTGGTCATTCAACAAGACCTGGTTAAGCTTTCCTACTTAGTAAAAGAAGACAACTGAACAAATAACAGACTCCAACTGCTTTTTTTTTTTAACTTATTATAGAAAAAATTACATAAGTAAAATAGGACAATGAATCCCATCTAGCCATCACCAAGATTCAAAATTATCAAGACTTTGCCACATTTGCTTCATCTACCTGCTTTTTTCCTACTCTTTGCTGAAGCAAAACCCAGACATCATTTTACCCCTATGTATGTCAATATGCCTCTAAAATTTATGGACATTTTCTTACATAATCACAATAAGCAAAGAATTATGTTAATTTAATACCCAGGCCAGAATTATATTTCTCTGATACAAACAAAGTCCTCACATTACACTTGGTTGGGTCTCTTAAGTTTCAATCAAATCAAAGGTACTGTCTTTTCTGTCATTGGTGTTGTTTCCTCCATGCCCCTCAATTATTGCAGAGATCTGGTTAGTTGACTGTGGTTTTAAAGGAAATGAAAGCTATTCCCTTTCTGATTTAACAGCTCTTGGAAGATAGATCTGTCAAGAACTGGCCTTGCTCCTCCTGGTAATATGAAATTATGAAAAGAAGTGAGAGTAGGGAGAACAGGAAGAAATATTACAAAAGCTTTGAGCCCTGGTTATAAATCAAATCTGAAAAATTTGGTGTATGACAGCCATCCTGTTCTGATAATTCCCTAAGACCCAAAGCCTACTCCATTGGCTCTCCCTGGATAGATAAACTGAGGACATGCACAGTAAAACCATGGGCCAGGTAGAGCCAAAAGACAGTGTTCCATCATCAACCACATCCATTCTGAGGTAAAAATGCTGGGTCTATGAGTCTACTGCCCTGCAACCAGACTTGGGACAACAGTAGGCAACAAAGTCCAAAATAATCTGATAGGAGGGAGCAAAAAAAAAAGAACATAGATGATCAGGTAAAAGCTGTAATTCAAGAAAAGTTCCAAAGACGCTGAGTATCAAATTGGTCAAGTCTACAACGAAGCAATACACACAGCAGGTGTTCCAGAAATTTGTTAAATCCTGTTTTTAAAAAGAATGCTATGAAAGATCGATCAATGTAAAAATAAGACAAAGGGCACATTTACAGTTGTGAATACAAGAGAGAGAAGAGATTGGAACTAACATTTCTGAGCATCTAGTATGTGCCAAATACATTAGAAACTTTATTTTACAGAACCCTCAAAATAAAACCTGAGGGAATTAGGTATATCTATTTTATAGATAAAGTAAATGAGTCTTGATGAGGTTAAGTAACTTACTCAAAGTCATACAGAGAAAGTAACTGGTGCAATCAGGATTCAAACCCAGATGTGTCTGACTCCAAAGCCTATGCTCTTTCCACTGGACACCCATGTGGAAACTAACTTAAAAGAAGGCAGGCAAGCTAGGCATTCAAACCTAGAAGAAATTTGGCCAGGCATACCAAAGGTGATTATAATTTAGAAAGAAAAGAAGATGTGAACTGCACAGGGGGAAAAAAAAAGGTAAGGCAGATGAGACAAAAAATTTCAACTCTCAAACCACTGGGAAGGGGTATGTAGTGACAGCTATCTAGAGAAGGTGGCAAGAAAAATTCTGTTTTTATAAAAGAAAGGTATCTTAGTCATAACCAGGTAGTGAACGGAAAGCCGCTGATGAAAGTGAATTTGTCTACATCATTGAGTGATAACTACTATAGTGATGAGGTCTAAGAAATGCAGCAATATGGAGAAAAATAAAGAAAATACCTAGTTAGGACAGGAATATAAAAGGTGCAATTTTACTCTGATAGATTCTAACAAGGATTATACAGGTGGAGAGGAAAGGATGACAATGGAGAGGGATGGTGTCTCCTGAACTCCTGGAGAGTTGATTTTCTGTTCAGAGTCTATACATCACTCAAAGTCATCTTGTTTGGCACAGAGAATCAAATTTCTCAAAGGATTATTTTCTTTTCCTCAAAGAAAAGACCTCTGATACTTTTACAACTTGAGATCGTGAAATTCCTAGCACCAAAAAGTACATTACAAACCATTAATATATTTTGGTGTACTTTATTATCATTACCACAATATTACTCTAAAGGAAAATATATAAAATTTAAACTATTTGTTCCCAGAAAGTATTTTTATGCCCAAAATAATATAGTTTTGAAGTCAGAATAACGTACTTAGCATAATCTTACAAAGAATAAAATTTCTTTAGTCTTCCAGAGCATCAAATAACTTATCAAGTAAACTTTATCTACTTAATAAATGAATGTTAAAAAGTGATCTATTGCCAGTTTTATACAATCACTTGAAAGTCAGGTGCTCTTAGACTCATGCCTTCAAACATTCTGCTAAGTTAAGGCAGTATTAAATTTAAAATTGTTTTAATTCTTTTCAAATGGCTCAGATTTATTTTTACTACTCTTTTGTCCATGAATTTTGGTTTGTCCTATTTTCTTTTTTGTTTATTTTAACATTAACAAAGCAAGAGGTTGGACCTGATGCTATGACAGACAGGAAAGAATAGATCACATAGGCAGAATACACCAGACAAAGTCTAAAAACAAAATCTTACACAGCAACAACCAAGTTGCCATCCTACTTGTACACTCTTTTTAGTGCTTTACGTGACATATGCAGAAAAAAGAATTGAAAATTGAACAATCTTATAATGCAATAGGCTTCTCACCCCATAAATGAATCTCTGGTTAAACTGCTGCATTGCTCCTTGAAGTTGACTTCGTTGTAGCTGCCACTGTTCATAGTTACGGACAGATTCCAATGTAGGCCTCTGCCATGTTGTTGTTCTTGTGAAATGGTCAACATAATAAATACGTCCCATGTTGTCAACCCGCCGCTCCCAACTAAATCAGAACAAAAATAATCTAATTCAACAAATAATTGTGAAACAGAGATGAATTAAACAGGACTTCATCCTGGCTCTGGTGCAGGGTTGGTAAAACTTTAACTTGAGACATTACTTTTGATTTCCTGGAAGTCTTTTATTTCATAGTTTTTAAAACGGTCTATAGCGAACTAAGGAGCCCTGCTGGCATAGCGGTTAAGAACTCAGCTGCTAACCAAAAGGTGGGTAGTTCAAATCCACCAGCCGCTCCTTGGAAACCCTATGGGGCAGTTCTACTCTGTCCTATAGGGTTGCTACAAGTCGGAACTGACTCGACGGCACCTAACAACAACAACATAGTGAACTTAAGAGGACTCTTTCTAAAAATTCCTCTCTTAAAAGATCATAAGAATTAATGGACCACAACTACCACAGCCTCCACCTGACTAAGATTAGCACAACTAGATGGTGCCAAAGGACTAATGGTCCATAACAACTACCACCACCAACTGCTCTGACAGGGGTCACAATAGAGGGTCCTGGACAAAGCTGGAGAAAAATGTAGAACGAAATTCAAAATCACAAAAAAAGATCAGACTTCCTGGTCTGAGACCAGAGAAACCCCAAGACTATGGCCCCCGAAAACCCTTTTAACTTAGTACTGAAGTCACTCCTGAGGTTCACCCTTCAGCCAAAGCTTAGAAAGGCCCATGAAAAACGGTAATATATGTAGCTCAACCATGTATATGAAACTAAAAGGGCACACTAGCCCAGGGGCAAGGACGAGAAGGCAAGACAGGAAAGCTGGATGAATGGAAACAGGGAACCCAAGGTCGAGAAGGGGAGAGTGTTGACACGTCATGGGGCTGGCAACCAATGTCACAAAACATTGTGTGTACTGTTTAATGAGAAACTAATTTGCTCTGTAAACCTTCATCTAAAGCACAATTAAAAAAAAAAAAGATCATAAGATACATCAGTCAAGTTCTTAAGATGTAATGTGTATTCAGTAAGTCTCAAACAGTCATTAAGAAAAAAAGTCCTCATTTTCTTTCTAACGTTCTTTTTACTGTTGCAATCATAATAGGGACAAAATTGCATATATAGCTTTTTCACAGGTATCAAAAAGCACTTTTTCACAGGGATACAACCTTAGTATTTATCATTTTAAATGGGTGTATAATATTTACTTAAGTAAATACTCACACAAATAACTTGATGATTTCTACCTAGTTGTTTAGGGTTGTTTCCAATATTCTGATATTATAAATAGTAAAATAATAAATACCTTTAATACACCAAAAATTTTTTTCTTCTTTCGAATTACTTCCTCAGAATAAATTTTCTGGAGAGGATTACTAAGGATACATGCATT